TACAATTTAATGTTAATACAAGGTATGAGTGAGTGAGTGAGTGAGTATGGTTTAACGCCGCCTTTAGCAATATTCCAGCAATATCACGGCGGGGGACACAAGAAATGGGCTTCACACATTGTACCCATGTCGGGAATGGAACCCGGGTCTTCGGCGTGACGAGCGAACGCTTTAACCACTAGCCTACCCCACCGCCCCCAGGTATGAGGTAGAAGATGCGGAATACATCGTTCCCTAACCCCACCCTGGAGCCGTGACGCCTCTACTTGGGTATTTCTTCAAGGTACACAGAAATTATGTAAATAAACGTAGGCTCGAACATGCTTGAAGCTGTAGGTGCTGCACCGTCCCGCGGCCCCTTGACCCAGTGGGATTCCAGGGCAGAGTAGGTTCCCCATGCTTATCTTCTTATTTTGACTTCAGGGCAGAGTAGGTCCCCTGTATCCCATACTTGTCGTACGAGCCAACATGAGTGGTTGCTCAAGCTATCAACCCCTGGTGCATCTAGTCTAGATTCGGTTATTTACAGGCCTCGTTGATACAGCTAGAACATATGTGGTGTAAAAAACATTCACTCGGTGTTGCACTGTCTTTATCGGCGTCACCAATGACCAAGGATCGGTATTGATAACTAGATCCTTAGTCTATTTTGTCACGTGTTTATTCATGTTTAGGATGCACGTGGCAATGTGACACATGATACCTTGCTAATGAGACTTAACAATCCGTATACAAGAGATATATACATATTATCAAATGTCATGAGAGCATGGCATCCCCTGAGCGCCTAACAGGCATTCAAGACCGTTGTATTAGTTAACTCTCCAGCCCGCTGGCTTTGTAATAATAACTGCTGTTTATGTTTTACAACGCGCACCTGCCATGAGGTCAAAATTGTAACGTATAATGACATGATTACCTCGTGCTCCGTGCATGGAAATGGTGCGGCAACAATTTCTGACACTTTATATTACGTAAATGAGTCATAACTGTCTATATTTCCGGTCGGTGTTATCAGGGTGGGTCTTCAAGAGCCAGCTCAAATGTTGCACGTGCCGTTCGTGAAGAACCCTGTGAATAAAGGGGTGTGGCCTCTAAGCCGAGACAAAACACGGTCGCACATGTTGGCTTGCTTCAAACATATCTGGCACAAGAGTTCTGACGGTATCTGATCAGCCATTGCGTAGTTCAAAGTCCACGTGATTGTTTCATGTTTCTTGTGTAATGTTTGTGTGGTCTTTGCGTGTGAATACAATGTAAAGATCAGATGCATCTGACATTAGTTGATTTGTTGTAACATGAATGTCTAATTTATGGTGTAATTACTCCGTAGACAGCGGGGTAATGGAGGTAGTTAGCTGTGTTACAAACAGCAGTGCGTCTCGGATGATCCAGTCCTCCAACACGCCGCAAATTGCAGTGAAGAGTTGTGCCCCTTAGGCGCACCAGAATCTTATTATTTTCGGTGCAAGTCAATCTCATTAAAATCAGATCTAAGTTCTCGTTGAAGCTAAACAAAGATCCGAGGATATCCCATTACGGATCACGTCAGAACGACCTTTCGCGAACTTTGACCGACCACTGAAACAAGAAGTCGACATCAGCCAATTAGAAAGCAGCTTTCTCGAGCTTTACGGCACCCGTGTCAACCTGGCGACTTCCATTTCAGACTACGCTTGAAAAATATGTTGACACACTTCTCGATTAAAATTTTGAAAACTGAACAAAACGAACATTCCGGAATGTCTAATATATGGTTGAGATTGCATGGCAGTGCTTCCCATGTACTGTGCAACGCCTCCTCCGTTCAAATGGTTAGCCCATTGAAGCGAGAGATAGACCATAATTTTGACGGAATCAGTCGTACGGGCCGTAACTGTCGTTAGGAATACCCCGTGTTAACGTTTTCGAGGTTGCATGATTAGAAAACACGCTCCGACTGTCACTTGAACTGGTAAGCGACGCTTTGATTGGTCGAATGAAAGGTCGTTCTGACGTGACCCATAATTGGATGTCCTCAGATCTGTGTTTAGCAATGGCGAGAACAAAGATCTGATTTTAATGAGATTGGGTTCAAGTATTCGCCCAGACTTTCAGACATCAAGCTGAAACGCATTGATATAACTATAACAATTTTGAAACCGGCGTTTAGCCATTCTGTTAAAATGTTGATTGAATTTACATATTAGTGTGAATCGAATCCCAGATTTAGCCCTGATGATTATCCTCAGCTACTCAGCAATATACACCTGCTCATGGGTTTCATCCAAGTAGCAAACGTTTAGGACCTCAATCACTTCGGGCTTTCCTCCCACATCAAGCTGACACGCTGTCATATGTTTGAAATACTGTTCAAAGCGGCGTTAAAACGGAGCTCACTCATACTGATGACAAATGATGGGAAAAGAGTTTTGTTACTAGTTCAGTTATACTACTCAAAAGAAGTTAAAGTGATCCGATTAACTATAGCAATCGGACCTTCTTTAACTGCATATAACTATTATATATTATGGGGTGTCAACTTAATGGGGCAGAAAAGCCGAAAGAGAGACAGAGTAAGTGAGTGATTTGGGTTTAACGCCGCCTTTAACAGTATACCAGTTATATCACGGCGTGTCAGCTTAATGTGGGCGGAAAGCCCAAAGTGATGCAGGTCTCAGGCGTTTACCACTTCGCTGAAATCCACGAGCACGGGTATGATGCTGACAAACCTAGAAACATAATCGGGGCGAACCGGGATTCGAACCCACAATCATAGATTTCTGGCGTGCCCAAGGGACGCACCTCTGCACAGCGAATCGCGGCGCCTTAGACGACTGGGCCCCCCGTGCCCCCCGAAAGAGAGACAGATCTTAGACGTTATGAAGGTGTATGGTTTGCTGGTATGGGGTGTGGCGAATGATGGTGTCAAACAATTATTTCGCGTACAATATGTGTTCAACATGCATTCACCAAAGCTGTTGTTTTGGGTTTTTTATAACAATTAACAATCATGGACTTTTGAAGTTATTTGTTGTCACATTTATTATTGACATTTAAAATTCTGAAATGCCAGTCAAACATGGAATGCGTTGAGTACAATTGTTGATTCCGCGAGAGCTAAAGTGTGTCAGATAAAGTGACACATTAAGGGTAGAGTATAGAATCAATAAAATAGGTAGGGAATATTTTTTTTAAAGTAATCAGTCCATGTACAAAAACTAGAAATTCTCTTTCCGGAATTACGAGTTATTCAGACGTATTAATGTCCGTTGAAGTTTTATACGTGTTCCTATTACCAATCAGAGGGCACGTATGGTGCAGTCGTCTAAAGCGCTGTAATTCGCCGTGCAGAGTTACGTCCCTTAGGTGCGCCAGGAGCCTATGATAATTGGTTCGAATCACAGATTCGCCGTGATTATGTTTCGATGTTTTGTCAGCGCTTCGGTCGTCAGTGGCGCCGCTCGTCGCTGTTTGGGATTTTGTTAATATGGTACTGACACACTATGATATATATATATAACTGAAATACTGTTCACAATGACATTCAACTGAACTCCTACACTTACTCCTACCATTAATCTGACGGAAAGAGAGTTTCCGAATAAACAGGTTCGTAGCTAGCGAGGCTCCACTGAATGTTGGTCGATCTGTCAATACTGTTCCTAATTTACATCCTTAGATCTTGGGGATATTTGCCAAAAACAATTCAGGAATTGTATTCTTTACATCATACGCCAAACACATGCTGGCAGTTTGATTTGTCTAAAGCTCTTAGAAATAGAAACTTTTTCATACTAAAATGTTCTGTGTGTTTGATAAGAACTCCAAACATAATCAATGATAAAGATCTGGGTTTTGCTTTTATGTCTTCAGTCAAGACTGATTGTCCGTCTTCGATCATAATGTACAATAACAGAAACCATTACAGAAGTAAATTAGCCCGTGTCAAAATCTTGGCACGTAAAATGACACTGCACGATACATAACGGCAATAATTCTACAGGTCCTCTGTATGTTGTAAAAATGTTTATCTCGAACGTAATATGGTTTATCTGGCGAGGTTCTTATCACTGCCATGTAACAGAGAGATCGATCACTCTGGTGGTAATGTTTCCCGTGCCCCTACAGGAGGAGAGCAATTGATCCTAGGTACCCCCTCCCCCAATTGATCCTAGGTACCCCCCCCCCCCCCTCCCCCCCCCACACACACACACCACCACCACCACCACCACCACCATCATCTCTATTTCTCTTCCCCAACCCCCTCCTATCATCACCGATCAAAATTATTTTGCTACAACTGAGTTTCATTCACGTGCAGTAATCTTCCACAATTTCCCAAGGGTCAAAGCCTAAACTTGCAGATAATGGGAGGAGAGGATGGTTTGGAAATAGAAGCGCTATTACGCAAAATATCGATAATAAATAAGTTCTTGCATATCAAAGAGTTGACCGCCTCTAGGGAGTGGAATTGGCGTTGTTGTCAGGCTGTCTTCATGAAGAAGGTCGTCGTCGCCACCTCGGGCTATCGTGTTTGTAAAACCAACTTGCATGCAAGTTCGCATGCTAGTCCCAATGCCTGCAACTGTCTCAACCTTCTCGGTAAATTCCCTGGGAGCCGTGGTTAATTCTTATTTTCCCCAAAACATCACACTCCATCTTGGAATGTATTGCCTAAAAACGAACACATTTACAATGCAGGTCAGAACGTCATCGTGTTGTTGACGGATCTCTGCACGGTTTGTTCGCTGATTTAGCTGATAGAATTAATTCCACAAAACCCAGTCGTCATGTGGAAGCATAAAAGATTGTATTTAGATGGGGCCCATGTTCGATTATACCAAAGAGACTCCCAGCCTTACTGCCCGACGTCAGTTACGAGATAGCATGTAGTGTTGTCTCAACGTTATTAAAGGCCGAAGTGCCATATTGTCAGGATGACCATACACCTTAAAACATACCTACTCGCAACGTAATCTCAGAAAGCAAATTTAACCATCGGTTTTTTTTCTTTCCAGATTCCCTTCCAGTGAAGTTCCCCAGCGATGTTTGTTCGGTGGTAATTGGTGATAGTGTGATTGATGTCTCCCACTCTGTCCACGGCGATACTACACAGCGTCTGATCAGCACCAGCGTATCTGTATACGACATCGTCAACGTAGCCGGTAAGCTCATTTGTATCTATGGCCAGATAGGTTGATACCCTCAAAACTGAGGGCTCCAGGCCGGGCAGCGATGGCACACATCTGGTGCTTTGCACGCAACTTGCATGTATACCTGTCTTGTCTCGCGAGACCTTTTTAGTCTCGCACGCACGCCCTCTGTCGACGAGAAGTTGCATCTGGCGTCTGCGGATCGTCATTTTAGGATTCTGACAATGAACAGTAACAGTAATACAACAAATGTTCTAACGTCAGGCACATCGAAATGAACATCTGGTGTCGTTATGTCTTCTAACAGTACTCATTACGGCAGTAAGGAGGTCACATAGATAGCTTGTAATCAGAATATGAATGTGGTTGAACCGGCACTGTCTGGACGTAATCACTTTAAAAGGCCCAAGGTCTGAGGTTCAGAGTCAGGCGTACGCCCGAATGGATAGTTAATGTATCAATTTAGCTATGAAGCGAGTCTACATAATCAATATTTAAGGTTTAATATCCTACATATCACGACATCAAAAGTGGGGTTCACCTACTAATTGGAATGTTCCCTTTTATACGGATCTGTCCAGGCCCGCACAATGGTGTTAACCCGTTAAATGCGCCGGGTAACAGAACCAATGTAATCACAGGGTATTGAATCACAGGTATTGACTACTACTACTACTACTACTACTACTACTGCTACTACTTCTCAGACTAACAATCTGTTGTCTGACACTGGGAGAGTACCCGGGTTTGCTACCAGGAATACAACCCTTCTGACAATCTGGGTAATGCAGAAAGTTGCAGTGTTTGGGAGTCTTCACATATTCTCCGAAAAGTTCTGGGTGGGTTTGACTAGGCAGCGCTCCCCGGAGAAGTCCAATTCGCTGTCTGGGCTGCGTGTAGAGGGGGCAAGGGCCCAAACCCTCTTTGCTGCATTTTTTATTTTAATCTGTACAAGAAGAAGAAGAAGATAGATTGATGGAGGGATGGATAGTAATATTTGTCGGAAAGACATCATGATGGCTGCAGACAAGGGGACACTAGTTTGGGTTGCACTTGGGTAAGTTGGTGAGTGGGCTACAGGGTAACATATCATGGCGGCCTGTAAGCTAACGAGCCTCAGCCAGACAAACCACGAGCTGATGATAGGAGAAGCCATTCTGCTCAGGAAAGCCTACAGAGAGACAAGCATAGTCCAGGTGGAACATATTTTGACCCAAAATCAAATCCCGAACTCGCCCCGATTATATCCCGTGGCTTTCACAAACGTCGCAAACATCCACGAAGTGCGTCGCTTAAAGCGTTCCTTCCACGTTAATGATGGCATGTCGTGATATTGGTGGTAAACCGATCTTACTCACTCACCATAAGAAATAAAAAACAATAGTCTCCGATGAACTGCCACGCCCACAAGTACACACTGTATAACGTTGTGAATTGCAACATTGCAAATTGTAATATCAGGAAAAAAAATCATCTCAAGAATTTCCCTTCTGAAAACTAGGTTACAGCGCTACTGTGGTATGTGACAAAATGACATCGGACGATGTCGCGGCTGCGTAGTTTTTCAGACATCTTGTGGTCGTAACTCAATCAACCACACTTCAGTTATGACATGAATACCGCCACACAATCGATTACTTGGGAACGTTGTCAGGATTTCACTGACTGCAAACTGACACTACCCCTTGAGCCCCAACCATAGGGTTCAATAGTGGGGAAATAGGACCATATATATCATAAAGCTTGACTAGAACACAACCATTTAATAACTCGACAGGCCGCACTGTGTAGTGGGAGACAGGCCTTACTGTGTATGTGGGTGACAGGCCTTACTGTGTATGTGGGTGACAGGCCTTACTGTGTAGTAACAGGCCTTACTGTGTAGTGGTTGACAGGCCTAACTGTGTAGTGGTTGACAGGCCTTACTGTGTAGTGGTTGACAGGCCTAACTGTGTAGTGGTTGACAGGCCTTACTGTGTAGTGGTTGACAGGCCTTACTGTGTATGTGGGTGACAGGCCTTACTGTGTAGTAACAGGCCTTACTGTGTAGTGGTTGACAGGCCTAACTGTGTAGTGGTTGACAGGCCTTACTGTGTAGTGGTTGACAGGCCTAACTGTGTAGTGGTTGACAGGCCTTACTGTGTAGTGGTTGACAGGCCTAACTGTGTAGTGGTTGACAGGGCTTACTGTGTAGTGGTTGACAGGCCTAACTGTGTAGTGACAGGCCTTACTGTGTAGTGGTTGACAGGCCTAACTGTGTAGTGGGAGACAGGACTTACTGTGTACTGGGTGACAGGCCTTACTGTGTAGTGGTTGACAGGCCTTACTGTGTAGTGGGAGACAGGACTTACTGTGTAGTGGGTGACAGGCCTTCCTGTGTAGTGGTTGACAGGCCTAACTGTGTAGTGACAGGCCTTACTGTGTAGTGGTTGACAGGCCTTACTGTGTAGTAACAGGCCTTACTGTGTAGTAACAGGCCTTACTGTGTAGTGGTTGACAGGCCTTACTGTGTAGTGGTTGACAGGCCTAACTGTGTAGTGACAGGCCTTACTGTGTAGTAACAGGCCTTACTGTGTAGTAACAGGCCTTACTGTGTAGTGGTTGACAGACCTTACTGTGTAGTGGTTGACAGGCCTTACTGTGTAGTGGTTGACAGGCCTAACTGTGTAGCGGTTGACAGGCGTTACTGTGTAGTGGTTGACAGGCCTTACTGTGTAGTGGTTGACAGGCCTCACTGTGTAGTGGTTGACAGGCCTTACTGTGTAGTGGTTGACAGGCCTAACTGTGTAGTGACAGGCCTTACTGTGAAGTGGTTGACAGGCCTTACTGTGTAGTGGGAGACAGGACTTACTGTGTAGTGGGTGACAGGCCTTACTGTGTAGTGGATGACAGGCCTTACTGTGTAGTGGGAGACAGGCCTTACTGTGTAGTGACAGGCCTTACTGTGTAGTGGTTGACAGACCTTACTGTGTAGTGGTTGACAGGCCTTACTGTGTAGTGGGAGACAGGCCTTACTGTGTAGTGGTTGACAGGCCTTACTGTGTAGTGGGAGACAGGCCTTACTGTGTAATGGGTGACAGGCCTTACTGTGTAGTGGGAGACAGGCCTTACTGTGTAGTGGTTGACAGGCCTTACTGTGTAGTGGGAGACAGGCCTTACTGTGTAGTGGTTGACAGGCCTTACTGTGTAGTGGATGACAGGCCTTACTGTGTAGTGGGTGACAGGCCTTACTGTGTAGTGGGAGACAGGCCTTACTGTGTAGTGGTTGACAGGCCTTACTGTGTAGTGGATGACAGGCCTTACTGTGTAGTGACAGGCCTTACTGTGTAGTGGATGACAGGCCTTACTGTGTAGTGGTTGACAGGCCTTACTGTGTAGTGGGTGACAGGTTTTACTGTGTAGTGGATGACAGGCCTTACTGTGTAGTGGGAGACAGGTTTTACTGTGTAGTGGGTGACAGGCCTTACTGTGTAGTGGGAGACAGGCCTTACTGTGTAGTGATTGACAGGCCTAACTGTGTAGTGACAGGCCTTACTGTGTAGTGGGTAACAGGCCTTACTGTGTATAGTGTGACAGGCTTTACTGTGTAGTGGGTGACAGACCTTACTGTGTAGTGGGTGACAGGCTTTACTGTGTATAGGGTGACAGGCCTTACTGTGTATAGTGTGACAGGCCTTACTGTGTATAGTGTGACAGGCCTTACTGTGTAGTGAGTGACAGGCCTTACTGTGTAGTGGGTGACAGGCCATACTGTGTAGTGGGTGACAGGCCTTACTGTGTAGTGGGTGACAGGCCTTACTGTGTAGTGGGTGACAGGCTTTACTGTGTAGTGGGTGACAGGCCTAACTGTGTAGTGGGTGACAGGCCTTACTGTGTAGTGGGTGACAGGCTTTACTGTGTAGTGGGTGACAGGCCTTACTGTGTAGTTGGTGACAGGCCTTACAGTGTAGTGGGTGACAGGCCTTACTGTGTATAGGGTGACAGGCCTTACTGTGTAGTGGGTGACAGGCCTAAATGTGTAGTGGGTGACAGGCCTTACTGTGTAGTGGGTGACAGGCCTTACTGTGTAGTGGATGACAGGCCTTACTGTGTAGTGGGAGACAGGCCTTACTGTGTAGTGGGTGACAGGCCTTACTGTGTAGTGGTTGACAGGCCTTACTGTGTAGTGGGAGACAGGCCTTACTGTGTAATGGGTGACAGGCCTTACTGTGTAGTGGGAGACAGGCCTTACTGTGTAGTGGTTGACAGGCCTTACTGTGTAGTGGGAGACAGGCCTTACTGTGTAGTGGTTGACAGGCCTTACTGTGTAGTGGTTGACAGGCCTTACTGTGTAGTGGTTGACAGGCCTTACTGTGTAGTGGATGACAGGCCTTACTGTGTAGTGGTTGACAGGCCTTACTGTGTAGTGGTTGACAGGCCTTACTGTGTAGTGGATGACAGGCCTTACTGTGTAGTGACAGGCCTTACTGTGTAGTGGATGACAGGCCTTACTGTGTAGTGGTTGACAGGCCTTACTGTGTAGTGGGTGACAGGTTTTACTGTGTAGTGGATGACAGGCCTTACTGTGTAGTGGGAGACAGGTTTTACTGTGTAGTGGGTGACAGGCCTTACTGTGTAGTGGGAGACAGGCCTTACTGTGTAGTGATTGACAGGCCTAACTGTGTAGTGACAGGCCTTACTGTGTAGTGGGTAACAGGCCTTACTGTGTATAGTGTGACAGGCTTTACTGTGTAGTGGGTGACAGACCTTACTGTGTAGTGGGTGACAGGCTTTACTGTGTATAGGGTGACAGGCCTTACTGTGTATAGTGTGACAGGCCTTACTGTGTATAGTGTGACAGGCCTTACTGTGTAGTGAGTGACAGGCCTTACTGTGTAGTGGGTGACAGGCCATACTGTGTAGTGGGTGACAGGCCTTACTGTGTAGTGGGTGACAGGCCTTACTGTGTAGTGGGTGACAGGCTTTACTGTGTAGTGGGTGACAGGCCTAACTGTGTAGTGGGTGACAGGCCT